GAGCACCATGAAAGATAAAGATGATAGGCAAAGTATAGGTTTCTGGGGACAGTATGAAAGGAAAAACTTCCAATAGTCCATATAAGAGCTAATTAATGCCTTTAATAAATAAATTTAAGAGACTCTAAGTCCTCCCACTCCTAAAATAAAAAAGGGACCAGCAGTAGCTAATAGAATTAGACTAGATTAGAAATTGAAGGGGAAAGACAGATGAAACTAAGAGAAAATCTCTCTCTGAACATGTGTTATGGGGACCAGGAAGATAAGACTGGGAAGATTAAGAGCAATGTTCTTAGCCAGTTTAAAGTATCACCATGTTTAATCATTCTTCCCAATCAATGTACAGGTCTTCATTACTTCTGACTAGCCCAAACTATTAGTTTTTTTTTCTTTCTTTTTGTGGTGTGGGGATTGAACCAAGGGCCTTGTGCATGCAAGGCAAGCACTCTATCAACTGAGCTATATTCTCAGGCCAAATTGTTAGGTTCTTAATGGTCAATCTGTCAAGGGTGAAACTCCTAATAGTCAAAGCCCTTTATTATGTAGGTCCTACTTACTTCCAAACTCTCTTCCCAGGATCCACATGGGATTTCTACTCTGGCTAAACAAGGTCCTCATTGTACACCACCACTCACTATTTCCTATCACTTCAAGTCCCAGTTCCTAATTTTGCCTACATTAGCTCTATGCCTACCCTTTGAAACCTTGTTGCAATTGTACATTCCTGATTACTGTTGCTACTTAGAACCATCCCTTCTTTTTCTTGGCCCATTACCTGTACCATTCAATCTTTAACTCCAAGGGCACAAGGGGTTTAAGACAAACTAGGGCTACTCACAGAACTTGCCGGCTTTAAAAACTCAAATATTGTCCTCCCCAAATACAGAACAAAGAAGACTCGAGTAATAGTTACTAAAAGGTTGAGAAACAAAGGCAATATAAACATGTCCTTCCCTACTTGCATCCCATTAATATGAAGGAAAGTTGAATATCAAGCCAGGTCAAGAGCCTTCACCTACTAACCACAGCTCCAAAGAAATAAGGAACCCATGGGAACTTTCACTTCTAGGACTGGAGTGTGGAGTATGAAGAAATTTGATCAACCCAGTGCTAAAGCCAACTAAAAAGCAGTTGAGGGGCTGGGAGCATAGTTCAAGGATAAAGCATATGCTTAACTTATGGTGAGGCCCTGTGTTCAATCCCCTGTACTTCTCTCCCCTCAAAAAACAAACAAAAAAACCGGGCAGCTGAAACAATAGTTTACTAAAAGCATCAAAAGGCTAAATAGATAATGAAGAATAATAGAGTCAAAGTCTAAAAGAGAATTTGGAGCCCTGTTTTTTCCTTTAAAGCATTTGCCTATTGGGAAGCAGCCCTACATACCTGATATTAATTTTTTGAAGTCTTCAGAAACCTCATGGACTGAAGTGGACTAAAATCAAAACCAAAGGAGCCTAAAGGTGGGAAACTTCAATCAGAGACATTGTAAGCTGGAAACCCAAAGTATTACACCTTCAATATAGAGGAGAGATAAAAATAAACCAGTCCTCAAGTGGACTTGCCAACTGGTTATATCATCTGGATGATGCAGGGAACCTCCAGTCTTCAACCTAAGTTAAGATGGTTTGGTAGCATCCCCAGCACGAGAACCAGAAATCCTTCCTGGAGGTAGAAATCCTCATCCTTGTCCTGTTCATTTTTTTCTTTTTCTTTTTTTGTGGTGCTGGGGACTGAACCCAAGGCCTTGTGCATGTGAGGCAAGCACTCTATCAGCTGAGCTATATTCCCTCCCCGGACCTGTTCTTATTTCTAAAAGCAATTTTTCAAATATACTATGTACCTCACAGTTAACCTGACAGATAAGGAGATGAAAAACTATACTGAAATTATTAAAGTACTCTATTCTCTCTGTAATGAAGTACTAATTATTTAATTTAAAGTATGATTTGGGGTGGGTAGCCAATTTTTCCCTAAACACGCTCTTTTCTTCCTGGAGGTGTCCAAATTTATCCAAGGTCTTGTTTAACTGTAGCTCTAGAAGATACAACATGAAGCTATTTTCCATAAAGAATCTCCAGGGCAGCAAAGAAGTCTCGGTTCTGTAAGAGTAGTTTTTCTTTTTTTGTGGGGGAGGGAGGTTGAGGAGGGGAGGGCACAGGGGATTAAAGCCAGGGACATTTTCCCACTGAGTCACATCCCCAGCCCTTTTTGAGACAGCCTCAATAAATTGCTGGTATTACAGGCATGTACCACTCACTGTGCCCAGCAAGAGTAGTATTTACAAACTACCTTTAAATCCATACTATTTTCTGATAAACAAAACATAAAATTCCAAATCCACTTTTGTACCTAAAATTTCAAAATATGCTGGAAATAACTAGTCATTTTGAATCTTTCCCTTACCAACAGTATGTACCCTGTCCCCAGCCTTGAGAAACTTCAAGACCTTGTCTCAAAATTAAAAAATTAAAAGGGTCTGGAGATGTAGCTCAATGATAAAGTGCTTCTGAATATCCAGTAACCAACCCCCCCCTTCCTTGCACCCCGCCACCACAAAGTTGTTCATTGACCTTTCTGGAAGATGTTCACTTCAGCAGTTTTCATTTGTGAGCACAGGACTTTTTCATCATACTTTGAGGTATAAAATTTTCTAGGAATGACAAATTAGGGCAAGTGTTCACCAATCCATGACGACCAGATGCATCAAAGAACATAGTTTGCTCTTTTTAAATGTTATTTAATGACAGCACAAGAATCAGCAAACTCTTGAGGCTCATACTGTGGCCTTTGGGCATATCTTCAAGTTCATAGTTGGAGCATTAAAGTGGCCATGAATGCAAACAAATAGATAATGGTAGTGTTCCCATAAAACTATAAAAATCAAGCCATGGTTGACCCCTGCTATAGTGAACATGTGTAGTGAACAGATTCACTTAAAGGCCTTAATAAATTAATTTATCATTCATCTTTTATTGTTTCTTTACACAAATACTCAAAGGATAAATTCTAATAAGAGAATGTGAAATTATGATCTTAAGTAATGGACATATTGGAAAGCTGAGAACACCACTATGTAAACAGGAAGGTTTTTGTCTTCAGATCTGATGAAGACCATGATAAAAATAAATGAAAAAGTAAAAAACCCAAAACCAAAAACACAAAAAAACCCTGTTGGGGTTGGGGGTATAGTTCAGTGGCACAGCATTTGTCCAGCATGGATTGATCCCTAACACCCCAATGTAACACTTTAAAGCATATATTCTATGCCTCAAGCTATGCTAAATACTTTGTGTAAACTATTTCTTGCACTTGAAAACAAAACTGAATGCTGTACATTTTATTAAGCCTCACTTTACAAATAAACCATGGCTGAGAGTAACTTGATCAGGTTCACATAAGCAAATAATTAACACAAGAGGAACTAAATCCCAAGACTTCAAATACCCAAGACCATTCCTTTATGATGCTAGCCAACCAATCCTCCCGGTGGACAGAGAAGACTCAACCATGTTTGTAAGCCTTCCTGAAAATTAATTTTTATTTATATACTTAAAATTCTTGCATCTCTTGACATTCTCCCCTTGGGGAGCTAGCTCTCAACAATTACCATTACCTTTAGAACTTTGTTTTCCTTTCATTCCTGACCAGGAAGAATACTTACTCCTTTTATTCCCCTTAAGCTTAACATGTTACTAAAAAATAGGATAACAAGTGCAATTAAAATAGCAAAACTTGGTCGGGCTTGGTGGCGCATGCCTGTAATCCCAACACTCGGGGAGGCTGTGGAAGGAGGTTCATGAGTTCAAAGTCAGTCTCAGCAAAAGTGAGTTGCTAAGCATATCAGTGAGACCCCGTCTCTAAATAAAATACAAAATAGGGCTGGGGAGGTGGCTCACTGCGAGTGCCCAAGTTCAATCCCTGGTACTGCTCCCCCTGCTACAAAAATGTGAAACTTTTTAACTAGCTCACTAGATACAACTTTCTGAAACTACCAGACCCAATGTATCCTTAAAATTTTTGTAGGTTTTCTTCTTTGTTGGGCCAGGATTTCCAGGTTAAGGGATGTGTCCTTAGTTCAAGTCCTAGAAATTCTAGGGGAAAACTCAATTTTTTGCCAGTCGAAGACCTACCAGCTTTTAGGGTCCTGTTTTCTGTCCTTGGAATTATTTTTTTCTCTGGATTATAGGCATTAAACGTGTATGTGTAGATGCTTTACAGGAGATCCCACAAAACAGCCATGGTGGTATCTTATCCTATGGCTCCAGAGGGTAACCTTATCGTAACACAATAGCCAATACAGGGGGCAATAAGGGGGGGCATGATAGAGTGGAGTGTCATTTTCCTTATAGAAACCTATTTTACTTCTTAGCCAGAAGCCATTTAGTAGGAATGGGTATTGACACTTGCAACAGAAAGGGAACATACATTGATCTATAATTAGTCTTCAGTGAATCAATGTTCCTCATTCCCAGTCTAGCCTTCACTATTTTTTTCTTTTTCCCGATATTGGGGATTGAACCCAGGGGTGCTCTATCACTGAGCTATATACCAGCCCCCCGCCTTTTTATTTTTTATGTGAGATAGGGAGTCTTGCTAAGTTGCCAGGCTGGCCTCAAATTTGCCATCCTTTTTTTCAGCCTCCCAAGTAGCTGGGATTACAGGTTTGTGCCACTGCTCCTGGCAGCCTTCACAACTTTTGATGGCCCCTACTAACACCCCTTTCTTGTTTTCGTGTGAATATTCCATTGCTGGGCCACTCCCATTATATAGCTATTGCTATACTCCTCTTATAGAACAGGTAACTACTCTGGGCTGGGGGGGGGGAAGAGATGAAACAAATTACCCTCCAAGTATGAAGTAAAAATCATTCTTTAATTATTTAAAACTCAATGCTGGGTTTAAAAAAAAAAAGTCTGTAAATCTTCAATGCAATGATGAGCTGGGTAAATGGGTTTAGCAGCCGATGTAGGTTATTTGAAATAATAAACATTATCACAGTATGAAGAAGGCAAAGTAAACAAATAGCTTAAGTATTTTATTTGCAACTAAGCTTGTTAACACTATATAATGAAAATGTACAAAGAATAATGTTGCAGTTTTTGGTTAGATTTAAGTCAGACATTCATTAATAAGGAATCTTCGAATGTGAATATTCCAGAAATTTCTCTAAGCCATCTGATCAGAACAACTGTCTCTGAATATTACCTTACTTTGGAAGGTATTGGCATACATTTGAATTAAACTCAAAAATTTTCAAAATAAGCCATAATTAAAAAAACTATTCTATGTTCAAACTAAAACAATTTTAATAGAACTTTCCTTTCCAGAAACAATAAAGGAAACAAGGCATTTTGTAAAATGTGGTCCTGAACAAGTCACAGTAAAAAATAAATGTATACTTAACTCCACCTCCTCAAAACAGAGGCTACTTTCTGCTCTGCAGCCTTGGAAACAAGGTGAAGAACAGCCTATAAGCAACTTCGGGTAGGGGGTTGCCAAAACAAAGCTCAAGCAGTTGAACATGGACACCTCAGAAGAATTTGGGAGAACCTGACCAAAGAATCTGAATTGTATTTTTAATAACTAATACAAAGGTGAAGTGGTTCCTCCAAAATAGCAGTGCTGCTGGGGCCTGGCCCAGTCCCTTGCTCACCTATACTATGCTCCCGAGCAAACCCCAATGCTTATGCTCCAGGAGAGACTGTTTCCCTTTAGAGGTTCAGTGTCCAGGGAGCTCTTTGATTGTATGAATGAGGTGAGCGGCGACTCCACGGGGTATTTTAAGGCTTGGAGTCAAAGATTTTTTTTTTTTTTTTTTTTCCTAACACGACTAGGTAGAGTCCATGTGTCAATGGCCTGTCTCCAGTTTGTTCTAACTTCTTACCACACATTTGTAGATCTAGGACCGTAGACCTTTGCTATATCATCATAATCACATCTAATGTCCATCCTAACTTATGATTCATATTCTGTGCCTGGAAACAGTCCCTGTATTTAACAATAATACCTACACATAAAACAATCCACTGTTACAACTTATATGGTCACAAAACATTAATGATCTTCTATAGACCAAGCAAATGTTTTTAACCATAATTGTCGTGCATCAAATTCACAGCCAGAATCCCCAAGATCAAAAAAAAATTTGCACAATACAAATAATAACTTAAAATATACATACACACACATACACACACTCACACACACTTCTTACAGAACTGTGCTTGGGGAAACTCCATTTGTTGAGTGCCACTGAAGGCATATTTTGCTAAACTGCTGCTCCAGGTATTTTTGTTTGGAAAATCTATCACAGTAGGGCACAGCTGTTTATTGGATGAGCAGAAAAGAAAGATATGCTTGTGGCAACCAGAAAGTTTTAAGGTCTTTCAAGTTGTATAAAATGGACCTGCAGAAACGTTTAAGTGTTCTCAGGATGCAAAGTTTTGGAGCTGAAATGTGATATCAAACCAGTTGCAAAAAGTGTACAGCAGCCATCTCTTGAGGTCAAACCTGGTACCCAGATAATGCAAGAAAGCTTCAGGATACATCTGCAAATTAGGAATAAAAAGCAAAAGAGGGTAAGAATACTAAAAAAAAAAAAAAAAAAAAAATGTATTGTCATGCTTTTCTAACATTCATTAACAGCATGTGTGTCACAATTTAAAAGGTACTAAACTTTATGAATATAAGAAACCTGGCTCAGGTTCAATTAGATATATTTATAATTTATGCTGTAATTGGTAGTTAAAAAATCCCCTGATCATATATAAGCTAGCTAGCTTAAGGAAACAACTTTCATGAATGAACAACTGGAACCACCTTTCTGGAGAAAAGATAGGTAAACAAAATAATATTGGTGCTACAGCCAGAATACTGTAGGTTTTAATCCTGGCTGAACCAATAGCTACATGAGCTCAGGCAAATTACTTAAGCTCTCTTAAGTGCTATTCTTACTATAAATGAGGCTAATGATTCCTCCCTCTTAGTGTTACTGTGAGGAATATGTTAAGAGTCACTGAAGATTTAAAGGGCTTAACCAGTGCTGGGCACAAAGTATTCTTAGCTATTATTTTACTTCACAGGGTTTTTGCTCTCAGGGGACAAGATATTCTGTGTCAACATCTTGCTCTCAGTACTTGGGAAATCCAAAGAAAAACTTGGCATACTTACAGCTTGTTGGTCTTGTCCCATATCGCCGCATAATCTGATCATGTGTGAATTTCACAAAAGATTCATACTGTTCTGTGAGGGAAAAAACAGCATGTACTTATCCCAGAAACTGCCTCCAATCCCAATTTTTTAAGAATCAAGTATCAGGATCATATCTATATTCCCAGTTTGAATTCTCTGCTTCTCAAAGCCTCCTTATAAAGGTCACTCTAAGATCTCTTCCTTTTTGATCTCAAATCCAAATTCCTGGCTCCTAGACTTATCACTGATCATCTATGGCAATATTTTCCTAAAAACCTCTTCCCTTGCTCTCTCCTCCTGCCTATCAAGATGCCGAAGGGAAAGAAGGCCAAGGGGAAGAAGGTGGCCCCGGCCCCCGCCGTGGTCAAGAAGCAGGAGGCTAAGAAGGTAGTGAACCCGCTCTTCGAGAAGAGGCCGAAGAACTTCGGCATCGGACAGGACATCCAGCCCAAAAGGGACCTTACCCGCTTTGTAAAATGGCCCCGCTACATCCGGCTGCAGCGGCAAAGGGCTATTCTCTATAAGCGGCTGAAAGTGCCTCCTGCGATTAACCAGTTCACCCAGGCCTTGGACCGCCAAACAGCCACCCAGCTGCTTAAGCTTGCCCACAAGTACAGACCTGAGACCAAGCAGGAAAAGAAGCAGAGGCTGTTGGCCCGGGCTGAGAAGAAGGCTGCTGGCAAAGGGGATGTTCCCACAAAGAGACCACCTGTCCTTCGAGCAGGGGTCAATACTGTCACCACCTTGGTGGAGAACAAGAAGGCTCAGCTGGTAGTGATCGCACATGATGTGGATCCCATCGAGCTGGTTGTCTTCCTGCCTGCCCTGTGTCGCAAGATGGGAGTCCCTTACTGCATCATCAAGGGGAAGGCTAGGCTGGGACGTCTGGTTCACAGGAAGACATGCACCACTGTTGCCTTCACACAGGTTAACTCGGAAGACAAAGGAGCTCTGGCTAAGTTGGTGGAAGCTATCAGAACCAACTACAATGACAGATATGATGAGATCCGTCGCCACTGGGGAGGCAACGTCCTGGGTCCAAAATCTGTGGCTCGCATTGCCAAGCTGGAAAAGGCAAAGGCTAAAGAACTCGCCACTAAACTGGGATAAATGTATGCTGTTGCATTTCTGTACATAAAAATAATAAATTGTCCTTCATCCAGTGTCTTGGACTGAAGGCAATAAATGTGTTTCAGGCAGTAGCAAGGGCATGCCCCGTTAAAAAAAAAAAAAAAAAAAACCTCTTCCCTTATATAAACTTCATCACCTACCCCTGACCAAGAAAGAAATACGTGCTTCACTACCACAGGTCAGCAAGTTTTAGCAAATCTGCTTTTGAGACATGAAGTGTTTTGTTTTTTGGTACTGGGGACTGAACCCAGGGTCTTCTGCATGCTAGGTAAACATTCTACCACTGAGTCACATCCCCAGCCTCTGGGACATCAAGTGTTTTTTGTTTGTTTGTTTGTTTTTTGTTTTTTTAAGGGGTGGGGTGAGGTGGGCACTGGTACCAGGGATTGAACTCAGGGGCATTCAACCACTGATGATGAGCCATATCCCCAGCCCTATTTTGTATTTTATTTAGAGATAGGGTCTCATTGAGTTGCTTAGCCTTGCCATTGCCGAGGCTGGTTTTGAATTTGAAATCCTCCTGTCTCAGCCTCCCAAGCCACTGAGATTACAGACGTGCACCACCATGCCCAATCCAAGTTTTGAAGTCCTCTTTCGCCGTAAATTTAACATACACATTGGAAAAAAAAAAAAAAAAAAACATGAATGGAAGAGGCAGGATGGCCAGAAACCTAAGAGAAAATCCTATACTATGTAATTGTAGATAATTCTGCAGAAATACCACTCTCTAAAGGGAAAATCATTAGAAAGGTAGAAGTAGCCTGATATCTGTGAAAATGGAAGTAACTTAGAGTCAACTGATACCGGAACTGAACCCAAGGCCTTGTACATACTAAGCACATACTCTATTATCAAGCTATACTCCCATCCTCTATAGAGTTATTTTCTTAAAATATAAAGTATATTAAAGGATCCAAAGTTCTATAAGAGAATCTATTTAACTTTGTTTAACACAACAATTCTCAATTTAAAGCAGACCGGGATACAGTGGTGTGCACTTCAGTAATCCCGGCAATTCAGGAGGCTGAGGCAGGAGGATCCCAATTTTAGAGGCCAGCCTGGGCGACTTAGTGAGGTCCTGTCTTAAAATAAAAAATAATAGGAGGGGAATTGCTGCATGTATATAGGTGACTGTATGACCAATGTGATTCTGCAATCTGTACAATCAGAAAAATGAGAAATTATACCCAAATTGATTCAAATGTATGAATTAAGATCATTGTAATGTCATGTGTAGCTAATTAAAAAAAAAAAAAAAAAAAGGAGGGGCTGGCATTGTGGCTCAGTGGTAGAACGCTCGCCTAGCAAGCACGAAGCCCTGGGTTCGATCCTCAGCACCACATAAAAACAAATAAAGGTATTGTGTCCAACTACAACTAAAAAATAAATATTAAAAAATAATAATAATAATAGGGAGGGCTGAGGATATAACTTAATGGTAAAGCACCCTGGGTTCAATCTCCCAGTACTGCTAAATATATATACATGTACATTAATATATACACGTGTGTTTGTGTGTGTGTGTCTACACACACACACACAAATAAATCAGACCAATTAATATCTTTTAAAATTTTTTTTTAGTTGTAGTTGGACACAATATCTTTATTTTTATGTGGTGCTGAGGATCGAACTCAATGTCTCACATGTGCGAGCTGAGCGCTCTACCATCAAGCTACAGCCCCAGCCCCAGACCAATTAATATTCTAATGAACCATGCTGTGTAGGTCACCAGATTAAAAAATGACATTGTTACAGAAAGTCGAAACCTAAAACCACTCTGATCCCAACATAGATTGTGCTCTTCCACCCCACACCAGTACCAAGGGATGTAACCCAGGGCCTTGTGAATACTAGGCAAGTGCTCCGCCACTAAGCTACAGCACTGGTCCTTTTTTAAACTTTTATTTTCAAACAGGGTCTAAGTTGCCCAGAATGGACTGAACTTGTGATCTTCCTGTCTCAGCTTCACAAAAGCAAAATTATAAGTGTGCATCACTGCACTCATTTCTAACCCTGTCCTTTTTTCACTAATCAGGCACTACTTTCTATTCTGGATTCAGAGGATCCTGACCCCCATACCCCCAAAATTGCTGTGTTAGGAACTGACTGAACCCAAGGCATGCTAGGCAAATGCTCTACCACTAAGCTATATCCCCAGCCCTCTATTCCTGATTCAGATTCCTTCCTTTCACATAAGACTCTATATTCTATTATACCTCTCAAATCACAAGATGCCTAATTTCCCATATTCACAAATTGATCCCATCCAGAACTTTAAAAATGAACAATACTGTACTCCTCCCAAACACCTGGTGGGAAGTTAGTACTATATCCCACCACCGATTAACCAACATAATAGATCAAATCAATGATCTTTTTTGCATTAAGCCCTATTCTTTTTAAAGTTACTTAGCAGAGGGTTAATTCTTACTGAATCCTATATTTAACAATGATAGCATAATTATTGCCTGGGCCTACCTGCTAGTTTGGTGTTGAGGATTTGCTCATACTCCTCCCGAATTTTATCTTCATAGTCTTTTAAAAGCCTCTCACATATTATTCCAACTTGTCGAAGGGTAAAGGTGGGCTGGTCCTTCTTCATCCAGGAGGAACCTGACCAAAAGATAAATATAGTTTATATAATACATTAAGGCTCTAAGGTTTGTAATTAACAATTTATATAAACAATCCTCAAGATTATAAAAACTAAAACTGGGCATGGTGGCACACACCTATAATCCCAGCTACTCAGGAGGCTGAGGCAGAAGGATCCCAAATTTAGAGGCCAGCATGGGTGACTTAGTGAGACTCTGACTCAAAATAAAAAATAAGGGCAAGGAATATAGCTCAGCAGTAGAGCGTCCCAGCAGCACCACAACCACCAAAAAAAGAAAAAAATTATATCTTTATGTTACATGAGTATTTTCATAAAATTCGGCTTCTACCTTTATTTCATAAAGCAAAGCCAAAGGTAAACTGAGATAGGAAGAACAACATGTATTCAGATGTAAGAAAAAGTTATGATGCCATAAGAATCTATTCATATTCAATGCTCATTTCATAAGGACAAGAACAAAAAGTTTAAAGGGTATAAAATCTCGAGTCCAGATTAGGGAAAATAGATTCAGAACATGAGAGCTACTTGATCTTTGGAGATCATCTAGACCTGTTTAATGAAGTAGGTACAAGATCTGTAAAATTAACAAGAAAAGATTTAAATTAAATTCTGATTTAATTCTGTGGCAGGGCTTGGGCAGCTTTTATTTTTAAGCTCCACAGGTGATTCTGGTTGATATGGGCAATTAGAAGCTCAGGAGACCAAAGGACTTGCCCAATATTAAAAAAAAAACTTATCAAAGGCATTAACCTTTAAGGTCACGGAATCATGTTAACAAGTTCAAACATATTCACAAAGAATTCCTTTCTAAATTAAAACTAAAGGAAACAAGCTGGTGGTGCTCGCCTAAAATTCCAGCTACTTGGGAGGCCTAAGGCAGGAGGATCACAAGTTCAAGACCAGCTCAGATAACTTGATGACACTGTCTCAAATTAAAATTAAAAAAAAAAAAAAAAAGGAAGAAAGGCTGGGGCTGTAGCTGAATGGTACAACATTTGCCTAATATGTGCAAGGGCCTGCATTCAATCCCCAGCACTGCAGAACATTAAAAAAACAACAACAACAAAAAACCACTCACACACATATAGAAATCTATCATGAGAATGAGAACTTCCATGGTAAACATTAAGAATACCCCTGCTTAAATGTTTATTAATACCTATTATAACCCTCCTTCTAGCGTCCCTTCTGTCTCTTTGCCAGCAGACTATGAAATTCAAAACCTTGGTAGCTTAAGATTTCAGATGTCGTGGTCTTACTAATCAGATTCACTCACAAAAGATCTAAATTCATTACTGAAGTAAGTGGGTGGATAAGCTTAAACCAGGAACCTATTTCAATGTTGAGGCTAAAGGATAAGGAGCCTGGTTCTGGAGTTGGCAACTGGAGCAACAGATCCCAAAGGTGATTTCCTGATCAAAATAAAGCAACAGCCTCAGTGATGATCCAGTTTTGAGGTGTTTTTCAGAGATCACACTAGGATCTGTTTCTTCATCCCTACTTGTTTTTTAAATATTTTTTTTATTTGTAGATGGACACAATAACTTCATTCTTTTTGTTTATTTTATATTTTATGTGGTGCCAGGGATTGAACCCAGTGCCTCATGCATGCTAGGCAAGTGTTCTACCAACTGAGTCACACGCCCGGCCTCCTATTAGTCTTTAAGTCATTTAACACAGAAAAACAAATGGTTTAAGCCATTTAATACCCAGAAATAAATCATTTTTGCTTAAACTAAAGAGCATATATTTTGCCCTACAAATGAAATGAAACATGACTGAAACATCTTCCTTGGTCACTTTGTGATCCAGACTTGCCTGCTGGTCCACAAAGTTCACAAATATCATTTGTAATAATTTCTCTACCCATAACATATTCTAGTACTTTAAAGTTATATTACTAAAATCTAAAAAAAAATTATTAGGGGAGACTTTGAAAGCTCCATCATTTAAGTACATGCAAAGACAATTAGAAAGGTACTTACTGTTCCAGAGCTAAAATATTTGGATTATAAGAAGACAACTTTAAAAAATAATAACTTGCCAGGCATGGCGGCTTACACCTGTAATCTCAGTAACTTGAGAGGCTGAGGCCCCAAGCGACTCAGGGAGACCCAGGCTCAAAATAAAAAATGGCTGGGTATACAGTGGTAAAGTGCCTCTGGAGGGGCTGGGGTTGTGGCTCAGTGGTAGAGTGCTTGCCTAGCATGTGTGAGGCACAGGGTTCGATTCTCAGCACCACATATAAATAAACAAAGATCCATTGACAACTAAAAGAAATACTTAAAAAAATAAATAAATAGTCTCTGGGTTCAATCCCAGTACCAAGGGGCAAAAAAAAAATTACCTGACTGGTAGTGTAGCTCAGTGGTTGAGCACCTGCTTAACATACCATGAAGCCCTAGGTTTGATCCCCAGCACTGCAAATATTAATAGCAATATAGGGCTGCGTTTGTGACTCAGTGGTAGAGCACTTGCCTCGAATATATGAGACACTGGGTTCGATTCTCAGCACAGCATAAAAATAAAAAATAAAGGCCCATCAACAACTAAAATGAATAAATAAAAATTTTTAAAAAGTAATAGCAATATATTAAAGCTGAAGTTCACATAACAGAGAATGAACCATTTTAAAGTGAACAATTCAGTTGCATTTAGTATACAATGCAACTGAATTGTTCACAATGTTGTTAAACAACCATTTCTTCCTAGTTCTAAAACATTTCCATCACTCCAAAAGGTAAAAATTCCTTACCTGTTAAGCAGCTTCTCTCCATTCTCCCCTGACCTTTTACTTCCTGGCAAACAACAACTTCTATAAGAAGATAATTCTTAATCAAGGCAACTTGTTTTTATTTGTTTATTTGGTACTGGGGATTGAACCCAGGAGTACTTCTACCACTGAGCTACATACCTAGCCCTTAAAAAAAAAAAAAAAAAATTTTTTTGAGATGGGGTCTTATAAAGTTGCTGAGCTGGCCTCAAATTTTTGATCCTCCTGCCTCAGCCTCTCAAATTGCTGGGATTGCACATATGTAACATGCACTTAATTTAAGGAAATTTTTTAACCTTTAGACTGTCAAGTTTGTGAGGAAACAAACTCCTCTACTATTAAAGGAGACAGCCCACCACCACTGCAGATGTTCAAACACAGGTCTGCTGACTATTTGGAGGAAATGGTAGGAAAGGCTGATTCACAAAGTGACCAAGAAGATTCCCTCAAACACTGAGATTCTATGCTTGTTTTGATTTATTTACTTAAATAAATTTAAGAACTTAAATTTTATTTAACTTATTTAAAGTTAAGACTAAATAGCTCTCCTATGGCCAACAGACACACTGCAGTTATAGAGGAACATGCTCTTGTACTAGGTGGAAGACCACCAAACAAATTAATCCAATTTTGTGACTATGGTTTTAAAAGTATTAAGCAGTAACTACTTTATGCAACTACTTTACTAATTTAATTACTTTAGAAAAGATCAATTCTGGATTGGGAAGCCACTATTATAAATACCATTTATAAACTCTTAAATATCCATTTTGCCCATGAAAACATGCTTACCTGGAGAACTAGGTGCTGTGAGTGCTGAGGAGTGAGGCTGGCTTTCTGAAGTACAAGCTTCACTCTGATTGAGAACAACTTCTAAGTGTCTCCACCTCTGATAACGACTATATTCTTGCTTTATGTTCTGAAAAATTTGCTCTAACAAAAAAGAAACAAACAAGCATTCACTTTGTCATTTTTTCCAACTTTCTTCAGAAGGTGGAGGACAGGTCTTTCGACTAGACTTTAAATATTCCTTTTAGCATGCAGTTCTCAAATCTCCTGCCTTCCCCCCATGGTATTTATATTAAAAAATGAACACTGATACTATATCAAACACTCCTTCCATAGCCCCAGATAGTGTGCTCTTATTGCTATTTTAACAATGAGTAGAACAGCAGCTATTTTGGCATAAGCCACCCAAACAGTTCCCCACACTTGTTTTCTCATAGCAATGAAGATCAGAACTGCTGTGTGCTAGATGATAAGTACAATTTATAGTAAAAGAAACCCCCCTTTGTCTAACAGGAATTATTTTTGTTTTATTTTAGTGGTACTAGGGATTGAATCTGGGGGTGCTCTACCACCAAGCTAAATCTCTAACCTTCCCCCCCCCCCTTAAATTTTGAGACAGGGTTTCACTATGTAGCCCAGGCTGGCTACTGACTTGTGATCCTCACTCAAACTCCTGAGTCGCTGGGATTATAGATTTGCACTAATGTGCCCAGCAGAAGTTATTTTTTAATCTTTATTTTTTTTACATTTTCAGAGATAACAGTATTAAGAGGTGAGTCTCTTATCACCCAACACCTTCTAACAATGAAGCTTTTGTCCCATGTGAGACTCAAAGATCTTTGAGGAAGACAACAAAAACTATTTTCACAGCCTGGAGACTGATTAGGGGAGAAGCTAAGATTTATTGCTTACAGTCATAGAGCTAAGACAAGAATTTTCTGATCCTACAAGAGACAACACTTGGTAGGATTCAGATTGCTATTCTGCAGAATGGCAGCTATTAAGAATACAAGGATGTGGAGGAAAAGGCACACTCATACATTGCTGATGGGAATGCAAATTGGTGCAACCAATCTGGAAAGCAGTATGAAGATTCCTTGGAAAACTTGGAATGGAACCACCATTTGACCTAGCTATCCCACAGCACTTAAAAACAGCATGCTATAGTGACGCAGCCACATCAATGTTTACAGCAGCACAATTCACAAAAGCTAAATTGTAGAACCTACCCAGATGGCCTTCAATAGATGAATGGATAAAGAAACTATGTTATATACACATAATGGAATATTAGTCAGCATTAAAAGAGAATAAAATCATGGCATTTGCAGGTAAATGGATAGAGTTGGAGAATGTTATGCTAAGTGAAGTAAGCCAATCCCCCCAAAAAACAAACAAACAACAACAACAAAAAAAAACAAATACCGAATGTTTTCTCTGATATGAGGATGCTGATCAATAATGGGGACTGGGTGGCAGGGAGCATGGGAAGAAACTTTAGATAGGACAAAGGGCAGGGAGTAGAAGGAAAGGGCAGAGGTGTAGGAAAAAAAAAAAAAAAGATTGCTATTCTGAGTCAAGAAAATCACAAACCAAATTTGCTAAGGCTATTAAAGGGAGTCCAGGAAACACCAAAAATTACCTTGAAGTATACTCCTAGAGACAAAAAAGAATCTGGAAGGATGTGGTTTTCAAGTTTTTCATTTTTGCAGTGTAATACTACATTCACCTGCCAGACATTATAAAGCCTCCCTAATAAAAAAAAAAAAAAAAAAGCTGGGGCATCATGGTCCACACCTGTAACCCCAAGTACTCAGGAGGCTGAGGTAGGATTCCAAATTTGCACACAGTCTTGGCAACATAGTAAGATGCTGTCTTGAAGATAGGTAGGTAGGTAGATAGTTAAATACACAAACAAACAAATAGGGCTGGGATGAAGCTCAGTGGTAGAGTGGATCAGGTCCAACCTCCAACACTGCCCCCCCCCCCAAAAGGGTGAAAACAAACAAAAAGGGTGAAAACAAAACAAAACCCCACAAAACATAAAACCCCAGAAAACTATATCATCTTTGTCTCAATTCAAATTATTCTTGTGTATATGCTGCTATAACCTATTTTTTAGTGGTGGGAGATGTTAATGCTCTTTACTTAATAAACGTGACTATATCTTGGGAAGTCATTCAAGATCTTTAGTATAAATGTCAAATGCCTATGTGAATCAAAAATCAAAGAGTAATTCATAATGCTATAATAAATTATGGTACTGTCTAACAAATGGTATGAACTCAAAATAGCTTCACACATAGGTAAACTCCTTAACTCTCCATCTAAATTCTGGAACAATATAGGATAAACAATGCTTTCCTTTAAGAGTGCTATGAAGTTCCTATTTTAGATCCTTGAATTTACAAAGTCTTCACTTCATTTTTAAAATGTACTATTCCTCAAGCACATACTTGCCAGATTCAATACAAGGATGTTAAGAAACTGTAATGACTTGAAACAAGAAAGGACAAGTATGAGGACAATGCTCAAGAGAACAGAAGTTCTTTGATAAACAAACCTCTTTAACAGCCTCCTGTATGGTAAAGTGTACAAATGGAAAGATACAATATTAGAAAGACTACTAAGTCTAAGAATATGAACATCCAAAGGAGAAATAAGGAAGTAGGTGTGATTTTTTTTTCCTGAAGAACATAGAACAGAAAACAGTAATTTTTTAAAAAGAAAAATGCAAAAGTCCTTAACAGTGGATGTTATTTTTGTTGTTGTTGTGCTGGCGATTGAACCCAGGGTCTTATACATGCCAGGCAAGTACTCTACCAACTGAGCTATGTCCCCAGCCCAGTGGATGCTAATTTTATTCCTTGTTTCTCATTTGAAGTAGTTCTTCCAGGTTCTATCAGGCTAAAAAACTGTACCATGGTTCCTAGTTGCTAGACCAAAATTCAAACTCTTGAATATATCTTTCAAAACCCAGCCCCAATTTATTTTCCCAGGTCCCTTTCCCACTATAAGCTAGGTGAACGAAACTATTAGTTCTTCAGTTCCTGTAGAGTTTGGGGCCCTTGCTCTAGCAGTTTCCATTTGCTTGACAAGGGGGTGTGCCATTCCTCCACTTAAGACCCAGCCAACTAAAATGCTATCTCAAGTCAGAATGTATTCTCCAACTTACAAGTCATGATCCATTAGTTGCTTCCTGCCAGGAATGGTGGTGCAAGACTATAATCCTAGGGCTGGGGTTGTAGCTCAGTGGTAGAGCGCTTGCCTAGGATGTGTGAGGCCCTGGGTTCAATACCTAGCACCATATAAAAAATGAAATAAACAAAATAAAGGTATTGTTTCCATCTACAACTAAAAATATTTTTTAAAAATACTATAATCCTAGCAACACAGGAAGCTGAGGCAAGAGGACTGCAAGTTCGAGGCCAATCTCAAGAGATTTAGTGAGACACTGTTCCAAAGTAAAAAGTAAAAAGTCTGGGGATGTAACACAGTGGTAAAGCATCTTTAGGTTTAATCCTCAGTACTTTAAAAAAAAAAAAAAAAAAAAGCTTTGCATACAGACTCACTCCATATTTATAAACATATCCACATCTCCCTGAGGTCAACAATCCCCTTTCATGCCTGGCATTTACTCATTAAAAATTTAAGCAAAAAAGGCTTAATTCTATAGGTCTTTCTACAGAAAGTGCTCTATTATACATATCTTTTTTTTGTTGTTGTTAATGTCAAGTAAAAAAGTTTCTTGACCATTCATAAGTTTACAACCTTTGAGATAACTGGGATATTGTAAAATGAAGTCACTGATTATTACACTTACTTTCCATTAGCTTTTTACTTGACTCTGTTAGTATAACAACTAACATCCCCTTCCCCATTCTTCCTTTTTAATCCACAAGGCACCTTTCACTTAAACCAAAGTATCAAATTATGAATCATTAATACTTTCTATATCTCTCCTGATAGAACCAAATAAGCATTAAGAAACATGGGGAGGCTGAGGTTGTTGCCCAGCAGTAGAGCGCTCACCTCACATGTGTAAGACCCTGGGTTCGATCCTCAGCACCACATAAAAATAAATAAACAAAATAAAGATATATTAAAAAGTTTAGTTTTCTTAAAAAAAAAAAGAAAGAAAGAAAGAAACATGGGGCTGGAGGTATAGCTCGATGATAGGGTGCTTGCCTAGCAAGAGTGAGGGCCTGGGTTTGATCCCCAGCCATCACACAAAAGAGGAGCTGAGGATATATTGCAGTGGTAGTGCTAGAGCACAGCTAAGTAAGCCTTGGGCTCAATCCCCATTACCCTCCCCCCCAAGAAACAACTGATCTTTAAAAATAAATATTTCATTTTAAATAAAATGTAACATAAATGACCAAGAAACTGGTTTGCATAATTTTTTTGGGGGGGGGGGGGGCACGATCTTTCCAAAGGCTAGGTTTTTAAGATTTAAAAAACAGCAGCCCTTGGCTGGGTGTGAGGCCCTAGGTACAATACGCAGCACACACAGAGAAAGAAAAAATAACAAAAGTTCTCATTATTACACTTCCATATTCAGGCTCCCAAATACATTCAACAATCATTTATTCAGCATTTATTGTAATGTGAACAACACTATTAGTCTAGAGGGTAGTACTTAATAATTACATAAAGCCTACTACTATAGTTTTCAAAAATACTTTTTGCAGCCATCTATGTAGATCCTCAATAAATGATAAATGGAGCAAGTATTAATTCCATTTTGTAGAAGTGAGACCTCAAAAGATAAGACAATCCTTGGGTATCTAAGATCATTGGAAGGAAGGGGAAAAAACACACACACACATCACAAATCCAGTGGAACTTTGGGCCTCAAGTGATTCTTTGGGCCTCATGTGATTCTCTTGTCTCAGCCTTCCCAGTAGCTGGGACTACACCATTTCTGCCCCCTGCTTTTGTCCTTCAAAAAAAACCTTTCCAAATATGATTTCATTCTATGCATAAAGCTATTCAACATTAAATGATCAGGGAATTTAAAGTAGAATAGAGATACTTATGGGGCAGATTGGGTAATGGATAGGCCACTTCAAGAAATTACGCAGTGGAATCAGCAAACACGGGGGAAACAACATGATACAGGCACAGCAACATGGATCTGGGGGAAAGAGTAGAGGCGGAGTTTTAAGAAAATGTTTAAAAAAATGTGACCAGGTCACGCCTGTAATCGCATTAACTTGGGAGGCTGTGGCAGGAGGATCACAAGTTCCAGGCTAGCCTCAGCAACTAAGTGAGACCTCATGTCAAAATAAAAATAAACTGTTCGGGACATAGCTCAGTCCTGAGTTCGATCCCTAGTACCAAACCAAAAACCAACCAAACAAAACATCAAAACTGACTAGATAAGATATGGTTATAGTTGATAAATCCTTCGATTTTCAAGGTTTAAAAAAGAAGTGAACACAGTAAGGATCTAAAGTCCGGGCAAGGGCTAGGTAGGTATCCTCGGTGTTACAGTACTTGTCCAGCGGTACTGGAGACCCTGGGTTCCGTTCTCAGAATGGGGAAGAAGAAGAAGAAGAAGAAGAAAAAAAAATCCGAGAACTCTGCTGGCTGCAGCAATCTTGGTGTGGGAACGAGGGTCTAAATCTACATTATAGATATGTAAAGGAAGGAGGAAATGAAATCTAAAGGCACTGGTAACTGAAAAAAGGTAAGGAAAGAATGGTTTAAAGGTGATTGCTTTAAGCTTGATGAACAGAAAAACGGACAAAGAAATAACTTCCAAAAATCCACTTTAGGAATCCCTCATTTCTGGACGTTCTTTAAAACTGCTGAATATTAATGTCGATGCACTTTCCCCTCTAGTAATGCAATATGATATGTATCTTTACTGTCACACCAGACCTTCCCTTGGCCAAAGTGGAATGCCTTATTGAAGGAGAGTCTCTGCATTAGATAGTTGAATTCCTGCTACAAGAACCTCTGTATGTTGAAAAAGCCTCAAATTCTGGCCAATGACCTACTGATTTCGAGCCATATTCGGTACAAGACAATAACCATAGAATAAAACTTGGCCAGTCCCTTTTAGAAACAGATTGAAATCGGATTCCAGGACTCCTGAGACGGCTTCTAGTCCCTAAAGACGTCTGGAAATCAGGTCTTCCTATAATCTACATTTCGGTGCTGAGTTGCACATACTCAACGCCCCTTCCGAGTAACCCGCCCCCACCCGCCACCCTCAAGGCCGGGTTCGTGAGCAGAATCCAATTTCCCATGGCCCACTGGATCTGCAGGGCGGCGGGGTGCAGCGTAGACAAGAGGGGTTTCAGGGATGGGGAGGGCTCAGCGGCCTGGGTATTCCCATCTTCCTTTTGGTGCCCACTCCTCTAGGTTCTCCAGCTTCAGGAAAACCGAAAACCGACACCGAGGGGCCACTACCCTTCCCGGATGTCTCCCATCCCCGGAAGCAGCCAGGCCCAGCAGCACCCCAGTTCCCTTTTCTTAAGGCAAAGAAGGGGTCCGTGGTAGAATTTGCCCGGCGTTCAAGACCCCTTCCCACACCCCAGCCCCCAATGCCTGGGCCTGGCTTCCTGCCAAGCCCGCAGCAGCGCAGGTTACCCGGAGTTGGAAGGCGCCGCTCGCTGCCGGGCGGGGCGGGCTGCTGGAGAGTCGGCGGCGGGGTCTGCGTCTGAAGCGGTGGCGGCGGCTCCGCGTCCGGGGGCCTGAGGCCCGGAGTGGGGCCGGGCAGAGGGGCGCAGCGCCGCCGCTTCGGGGAACCGGGGCTTAGCAGCGCCGCCTCGAACTCCATGGGCCGCTTCAGCGTCGCCCCGCACGCCATGACGCTGAGGGGCCAGGGACCAGGGGCGGACGCGGCGGCTCTTGCGGCCCAAGCTCCGGCTCCTCAGCGGGGCTCGCAAGCCAAGCCGGCTCCAATGGCGCCTCCAGCACCCGGCAGCGGCGCTGGCCCCGCCTCCTGTGACGTCACGGGAGCTCGCCAACGCCCGGCGGAGGGGGGCAAGCCGGAAGAGGGCCGCTCCGGGAGGTCGGTCACCGACTGCGCGGCCCGCGGCGCCCCTGCCGAGGAAGTGGAACGGCCTGGGTGGAGAGCGCCGTCGCCAGGCAACACCGGGAAGGCCCCCACCCCCGCCTCCGCCCCTCCCGGGGTCCCATCCCCCTCCTCCCGGGCCGTTGCGCCCGGGTGGCCCCGAGGTTTTCGCACCTGCGCGGCACAGGCCTGGGGGAGGGGAGAGCTGGAGGGGCCTGGGGAAACCGTGAGGGTCTTGGGGACTCGCAGCCCGGTAACCTCTTGGGCCCCTCTAGTCCGCGTGATGAAAGAGCAGCGATTCAAAAAGGTCTTCAAGGGCATTCCGCCGCGTCCGGTGGAATCTGCATTTAAACATAACCGATTATCTGAGAATGGGTTTTAGGAAGTACATGAACCCCATGAAATTATGGGCAAAACTGTGGAGAGGTATGTTTGTGGGTGAATTTTGGGGATAGATGACCTATACCTTAACTCATCAAATGGATTTATCTCACACACACACACACACACACACACACAATTAAAAACAAACAGACAACAACCCACTGGCTTAAACTAATTATGGTATCAGAGCATTAGGAAATTGGCTTGATAGGTGATTTACCACTGCTCCCTTCTGACTTGGCAATTCAGGCAGGTTCTTTCTCAGGTTTATCTGAATTCTCTAAGGCTCTAGAAAATGAATAGAACACAGCAAGGTTCTGCTTTTAGGAACTGTACTTGTATTTTCCTGGGGAGCAGTGCTTTCGGCAGGTCATCAGAAGGATTTGTCATCCCAAAAAAGCTTAAAACCTTTCTGTTACTATACATACATAGTAAATAATGACCATGCCTCCTGGGATCTGTCTTCAACACCTCATAGCTTATATGCCAAGATCAGTTTGCCCAACATTTGAAATGGAGAATTTGGGCATACTTTTTTTTTTTTTTTTTTTTTTGGTCCCTTTTCTGTGAGTCTTCCAGTTTCTCCAGATTGTTTTTTTTTCTAATTTTTTTTTGTTATTGTTGCACATGGACAGAATGCCTTCATTTTGTTTATTTATTTTTATGTGGTGCTGAGGTTTAAACCCAGTGCCTCACACATGCTAGGCAAGCGCTCTACCACTGAGCCATAACTCCAGCCCCTCTCCAGATTCTTTTAACTATCATAAGTCATGTATTTTTGCAAAATAGTTCTAAAGTGACTGAGTATGTTAAGGCTTTTTTTTTTTTTTTAGTTCTAGAGATCAAACCCAGGGTCTTGCTCATGCTAAGCACACACTCTGCCAGTGAGCTGCTACATCTCCAGCTCACCTTAAGTTTATTTTAGTCCATCTGTTGTCCATAAGAACATAAAGAAAGTTTACAATTGGCTACAAAACTAGAAATAGAATATTAGAACCAGAGGAAAAAAGATCACAATTATCCTGGAGTTAAAGATGACTAACTGCATTTGAAATTTATTTCTACATTTCCTGAATACCAGGACAAAAATGAACCTAAATTTGTCATCAGAAAGAAATCGTTTCATCAGAGAAGATAGACCATAGTTTTGACTTGTTTCTGTATCACTAAATTCTAAACGTAATTAGGAAATGGTGAGTTGATATTCTAAAGCAGTTGAGACATTTGAACAACAAATGCAAAAGCAAAATTTACATGGCTATTGCTTTCTCCCCTCCCCCCATATGGACGTTTCTTGTGACCAATAAAAGCCAAGAACATAAAAAGCAACCTAGTGATTGTTACTTTTAAAGGGGGCTTGTTTAATTTGGTCCAAGTAAATTGCTTTCTTGTGGTGTGAACAGGCCTGAAGTTAGAGCTTAGAATGTTTGAATATATGTCCAATGGATAGTCATTCTACATAGCATTTCTATTAGCTAAGCTTTTGCTAAGTGCTTTGGTAGTCACCCTTCTCTGTGATCCTTTAAAACTATGAGTGTGCCTCATAATATTAGTGTTTTTAAGGAGGAAGTTATAGTTTGTTTATATATCTGTACTTCAAAACCATACATTCTTTGAGAATGATAACTTGTCCTTGTTCATCTGTATTTACCCATCTGAGTCCAGTGTTTGAATACAGCAGGGGTAGGCACAGAATAGCTATTGGTCAAATGAATAAATGGCAGTTATTGTTTTCTGTATCTCTGAAAGCTGATAGACCACATTGCTGAATGAGGGTGGATTCAGATGATTCAGAAACCAAACAAGTAGGTGGTATATTCTATTATATGTTGCAGATGATGTCTTTGAGGGAGGTAAATGGGCTGCTCTGAGAGGGCTACTCAGTGTGATGTCTCTTTATGAGGTCACCGCAGTCCAGGTTTGCTTTGCTTCACATATACAGACACTTGATCATGCATCTCGCCCCAGCACACACACGTAATTGAGTATGTCTATGTGATAGGCATTATACCTTCATTATGTATTATGATTGAGGATACACTGGTTTGAAAAGAGGTTTGCTTCCTACCCTCCTAGGACTTCTAGTCTATTAGAGATGGCATATTAATCAAATAATCACAACAGCAAATATGTAATTACAGTCTGTGACAAGTACTAGGAAGGAAAAGGACAGGAAGACCTGAGAGCATACAACTGGGAGTCTGAACCTGTCTTGGATTGCAATAAGGATTTTCTGAAGAAGTGGCATTTGAACTAAGAGCTGAGGAATCAGTAGGTGTTAACATAGCCAAGAGAGTGTAGAGACATTCCAGGCAGAGAGGATAGCATATAGAAAGGCCTGTGATAGAAGAGATCACAGAGTGTTTGAGGAACTGAAAAAAGTCTCAAGTGGCTGTGGTACAGAACATGAATGAAGTCAAGAAAGACTGGCAGTTGATGAACACATTTACATTTAAAAGGGTTCCTGGCTGCAATATGGAGAATGGGTCCAGGAGCTCAGGGATGGATGAAGGTGATCAGGAAAGAGATTATGTATCCATTTAGATTATGCTTTATATTATTAGTTTTACAATATTATGAGGAATCTCTTACCTGCCAGCACACACGTGTTTTTTAATGTCTCCACTTGGGGGTTCACCTTGTGAAAGCTCAGCAAAAGGTCTGAGGCTCTACCTTTTCACTGTTGTACAACCTAGGGGTGTGGTTAGACTAAAAAGATGGAGATAGGAATGAAGGGAAAAGGATACCATCTTCCAAAATCTGCCAGTATTCTTTCCCCAGAGGTTCCAAAGAAACCATCTATGTTTACAGTTTTCTTTTATGTACCTCTCGTTCACTACCTGTCAGTCCATACCTATCTGACCTATGCTCCCATCCCATTCCAGTCAAACAGGTAAGGTTTCAAACTATGGATAAAAATAGACTGATATAAACAAATTTTAGGAGATGAAGTCAACAAGATCTTGGAAAAAACTCAATATGGAGGTGAGGGATATGAAGAATGCAAGTATAATTCCTAGGCTTCTGGCCTTATCAGAGCTATTTCTGAGAAAGTTTTCACTGGAAAACGACCAGGCAGGGAAGGAAGATGAGTTAGGTTTTGGGCATACTGAGTTAGAAATTGCTTTAAAGCATCACTTACAATTCTTAAGTGGGTATATATGTAAATATATGAGTCTATAATTTAAGAGTAGTCTGGATTGGATAAAAATATTTGGGCAAGTCATTGATGTAGAAATGGTAATTGAAGTTGGAGGGGTAGCTGAATCAAGCAATCCCTCCTTTCCTCCCTTCCTTTTTTCCCTTCCCTTCCCCTTCCTTCCTTTCTTTCATCCATGTGCTAGGATCAAATTCAGGGCCTTGAACATGCTAGACAAGCATCCTACCACTGTGTGACATCCCCAGCCTTGAATTAGCCTTTTCTATCCCTGTTTTTGTTTTTAAATTTTGTTTGTGATTTTTTTTTTTTTTTTTTTTTGGTAATGTTGGTATGGAACCTAGGTCTTCATGTAAAGCTGGACCAGTGCTTTACCACTGAGCTATACCCCCAGCCACAAATTAGCCTTTTCTTACATGCGATAAACCTCTTCTCTGAATGTTTTTTCTTTTTAATATTTTTTAATTGCCAATAGATTTTTAACTTTATTTTTGTTTATTCATATGTGGTGCTGAGGATCAAACCCAGGGCCTCATACATTCTAGGCAAGTGCTTTGCACTGAGCCACAACCCCAGTCCCTCTTCTCTCGATGTTTTTAAACATGTAAAATAAAATACATATGATTACAAAGGAAATCAGTTATATTAAAATATAAGCTGATATATTTACACGTTATTTTAATGTAACTATATAACTTTTATATATTTGTGTTTTGATGGCTTATATATATTATATAATATGTATTTTGTGTGATAGTCTATATATAGTATGTCAATATCCATTGGATATCCATTGGATACTGACAGATTATGGAAGTATATAATATATATCCATTGGATGTTGACTGACTCTCTGGAAATATATATTATGAAGGCTAAAATTATTACTGAAATGGAAGAGACATACTTCAACTTCAAAAGAAACTCCAGTAGTAGCCTGAAAGAAAGAGTACCAGATTATCTATGCAAAACCTGAAGACTGGAAATAAACCTGTGGGAGTGGTAAAACTCATCCAAAGATTTCATGTGAATATAGGACGTGAACAGGTTGAAGGAGAATGGGGAAATGAGATTATTCTGAAAGATCTTACTGGGGAAAGGGAAGGAGGAAGTGAGGAGACAAAGCAACTCTATGGGGCAAATAGTAGATTTTAAATATATGTTACAGAAAAATGTCTGTAATAAGCATAGGAAAAAGAAAAGAAATCATAAAATGGAAAAGTATAGCAGAACTAAAAAATTAACAAGTAAAAAGGGGAGCAGATGGAAATTTGATCAGACTGACAAAAATGAGGAAAAGGATGAGACATCAAACAAAATAAATAGTAATCATAAATTATTAGAACTTAATGTTATCAATTGCAATTAAATGTAACTAAACAGAATTACCCATTGAAAGAAACTGTCAGATTGAGTTAAAAACAAACTATGTGTTGTGTATAAGAAACAAATTTTAAACAGTGATAGAGCTGGGTGCAGTGGCGTACACCTGTAATCATACCTGTAATCACATCTGTAATCAGAGGCTGAGGCAGGAGGATGGAATGTTCAGAGCCAGCCTGGGCAACTTAGACTCTGTCTCAAAAACAAAAAAACAAAAACAGAAGCCAGGGGTGGGCCCTGGGGGGGTGGGCCTCAGTGGTAGAGTGGTCCTGGGTTCAATCCTCAGTATAATACATACAAAATATATATTAAAAAAATGATAGAGTTCAAAACAAAGATGTGGGCAAGACATATCTGGTAAATGCAAATAAAGGGAAGACAAGAGAGGAAATGTTAATATCAGGAGGAATCTAAAATAAAAAGAATAAATGGGATAGTATGATATAATAAAAGGCATAATTTTAAAAGTTTTAATAGTCACAAGCTAGACAGCATGGCAGCTAAATAAATAAGACAAAAACTGTAAGATAAGTTGATAGAAATAATTTCCAGGCATTATGTTACTTTTGGGAGAAATAAAAGTTGGTAGAGTATCACAGATAAAAAAGGGAAAAAAGAGGTATAGGTAAATGCCAAGAATGTCCAAGAAACATGGAGTGAAGGCATAGCAATGATCTGATAGCAAGTGTTTGAGGTGTCCCCTTCCTGCCCCTTCCTTATCACCCACAGTTGTAACCAATAAGATAGGGTAGGACAGCAGAGTCCACCCTTCCTATCTCTCAACATGGTATGGGAGGGGTGGCTCTTGGGCCACCAGAGGTCACTCTGTCTTCCTTTGTTACACGTGTCAGAAGCTGTCCAGTATTGGAACAGGTACCACAGTGCCTTGGGTCTTCTTGCCATTTCTCCCTAAGTTGTTCCTTTGCCTCTTCTCTTCTGGCATGGCTCTTGATGTCACTGCTGCCAGCTCTTGCTGGGACAGTTACTGTCATTCTCAGGGACAGGAGCTAGGGAAGGCCCAGCAGTCTGCCAGAGAGCAGAGTGAAGAGGCTAAAACTCAGATGTGTGGATCAGGCAGGTGTGGGTTCAAATTCAAGCTCTATTATGGACTAATTGGTAGGTATATCACAACTTTTCTGAGCCTCAGTTTCCTCACCTATAAAATTAACCTTCATCACTGGTTATTAGTTAGAATAACTGAGATAATGGAGATCCAGTGCTTAGCACAGCTTGTATTATGAATTAAGTCTGAATGTTTTCCCAATTGGTAGAAGTTGTTTTCAGTTAGTTTTCCTTTACTTTTTAGCTCACAGACTTTTTTCTCGTTGTTATGGGATTCCTACCAAAGAAGAAGTTGGGCAAAGGGCCAACTATTTTGCTTGCACATCTTCCAAAACAATTTTGAAAAATTGTGTACCCCATTGCATATTTTTAAGTTGACATTTAAATTTTTTCATCCTAAGATTAAATATTGCAAAGAATAAGATTTCCAACATATTGCAAGAATCAACATTGAAAACTAAAAAACTATCACGTAACTCTTGAATTTATTGAGTGGAATCTGTATACCATAAGAGGAAGAATTAATTGGGCTGGAAGCAATGGATGACAACTTGGAGGGGATGGTGGGGAATAAAGTTTTCAGTTTCTATTCAGACACTAAAGCTGTTATACTGATGATCCTGAGTGGTAAAAAACAAGTTTATTTCCACAAAGTTTGATCATTCAACCAGAGATGTTTTTGTGGCCCCCACTTTATGAATCTTTATGTCAAGAAGACCCCTTTTCCTGAGGGAAACTGGGGATACATTTTCTTCCTTTAGTCTGAAAGAGCTAGGAGTGGGGTTGCAAGGAGCAGAAGTTTGGAGGTTGTGAGGAAGTTAATGCAGCATTAACAGAAAGATAGTGAGCAGTGAGAATCTTTAGTCCATTTGTTATAGAGTAGCATAGCCCTTAGGAGTGCAGGATCTGGAGCCAGATGGACTAGCTGTGTGCCTTCCTCTTTTGTTGCAGGATTTTGGGGAAATTTTTTCACCTCTCTAGACACACATTTTTTTTCTTTAAATCTGGAACATTTCATGAATTTGTGTGTCATCCTTGCATGGGGCCATGCTGATATTCTCTGTATAATTCCAATTTTAGTATATGTGCTGCTGAAGTAAGCACTCTAAGCACATTTGTACTTCACTTTTACCATACTTCATGGGAGTAACATATTACACTGTGGGTTTTTTTTTTTTTTAATACTAGTGATTGAACCTAGAGGAGCTTTAACACTGAATTACATCCCCAGTCCTATTTATATTTCAAAACAGTGTCTCAGCAAGTTGCCTAGGCTGGCTGCAAACTTTCCATTCTCCTGCTTCAGCCTTCTAAATTGCTGAGATTACAGGCATGTGCCATGGCTCCCAGCCTATCACAACTTGATGCCTTAAAATGATAGAAATGTGCTCTTTCATAGTTCTGGAGCCCAGATGTCTGAAATCAGGCTCACTGGGTCAAAATCAATGTTAGCAGGGTCATGAACCATCTGAAAACTCAAAATCTGTTCCTTGCCTCCTCTAACTTTTGGTGCCTGGCAGCATTTGTTAGCTTGTAGCTATATCACTCCAGTCTATTTCTCTGGTCACACTGACTTGTCCTCTTCTATGTCAAACTTCCCTCTGCCTCTAGCTCTTGATCCTTAACTGCACCTTTTGCCATTGTTGTGGTTTGGATATGAGGTATTCCCCTCCCCCCAAAAGCTCATGTGCCAATGCAGGAGGTGACATGATCAGACTATGAAAACTAATCTAATCTGTAGATTAATCTGTGTGATAGATTAATAATTTGAGTACATTACTGGGTAGTAACTATAGACAGGTGGGGTATGACTGGAGGAAGTGGGTTACCTGGGGGCATGCCTTGGGGGTTAAATATTTTTTCCCTGGCCCCTGGCCCTCTACTCTCCTTCCCATCTATTGTGAACTGAGCAACTTTCTTCTGCCACACCATTCCACCTTGATGTTCTGCCTCAGCTCAGGCCCAGAGTAATGAAGCCAGCTGACTATGGACAGAAATCTCTGAAACCATAAACCCAAATAAACTTTTTCTCCTCTAAGTTGTTATTGTCAGGTATTTTGGACACAGTGACAAAAAAAACTGACTAATATAGACATAGGGTAATATTTTGACACCAACCAGTAATAAAATTCTGGCACTAACTACCTGAAGTTATCACAGAACCCACAGATTATCAGTCATGATCCCTAACAAGACTGCTCTCACTTCAGATGCCAGTCACACTCAAGTATCCATAGGCTACCTACACTTCTGGCCAACTGGTTACCAATTGGGGGGTTCCCTCAATTCCCTCAAGGATTGAGGATTTGCTTATATGATTCACAGAATGTAGGAAAGTGATGTACTACCATTATAGTTTTATTAGAAGGGATTCAAGTCAGAACCAGTCAAATGAAGAAACACAGAGTGAGGTCTCACAGGGTTCAAAATGCAGAGTTTCTAAAAGTGCTCTCCCTTTGGAATCAGGACATATCCACTTCCTGACACATCAATGTATTCACCAGTCAGTGCTTTTCACTAAGCTTTATTTATGTAATATTTTCAATAGTACAAACACTTTATTTAACAGTCATAGATTATCCCATAGGCCAACATACAGGACCTAAAATTCAGAGTCTTTGACCTCTCACTCTGACTCCAATAGGGTGAATACACTTGAGCTTGAAGCCTTTCACACTGTGGTTGATGGAGCAGGTTTTGACATCCTTAAATTCCACAAGAACCTGTGTGTATTTTCCCTGCAAGCTGGTCCTGTCCCTTATTTTATCCTGACCAACTCAATGGGCTTTACATAGTTCTTCTCTGTGATGGTGGTATGGCAGCAGTCAGGCAGAGTTTCACTAAGCCAGGATATTTATTGGGGCTTCATTTTATAAGCATGATTGACTGAATTATTTGGCCATTGGTTGGCTATTAATCATTGGTTGAATTCAATATATTTTCCTCTCTTCCTTCACCAAAGTTCAGGCTTGACTTCTGGATGATGTGCTCACTGAAGGTAAGACGCAGAGGACTTGATTAGAACAATTTCACAGAAGTAAAAAATGTCAGACCACTGAAATTATTGTGGTCTGCAGTTTGTGACAATTAATTAACCATGATTGTTTGACTTCTAAATCATGGTTAATTCTAGACAATCATAGTTATTTAACTTCAACAGCAAACCCCTAAAATTGCAACAGAATGCCAATCAGGGTTGCTGGAGGCAACAATAAAAGCCATATCACATGGGTATAAAGTGGTAGATAGATCTCATTGTGATTTTGATTTGCATTTCTATAATAACCAATGCCAAATAACATTGAGCATTTTTAAATACAATTATCAGCCATTAATAGATCTTCTTTGGATATATGCCTATTTAAGACCTTTACTCAATTTTTTTTTTCCCCTGGGATAATTGGTTATTTGGCAGGAGGGGAGCTTTGGGGCGTTATCTTCAGGGTGGTTGAATTCTGCAACCTCTCCAATGCAGTTCATCTTTCTCCAGCCCCCACCCTCCCACCCGGGTCTTCAGGAACTGGCACTGGCCCATATTTCTGTAGAGTCCAGAGTTCTGCAAGGTAGAGCATTCCTTTCAACGAGATCTGGAATTCCTAGGGTTGCAGACTTTTACAACTAGACCCTGGAGGCCTCAAAAATCCAGAGGTGCTTGGTTCAAAATTCCCAGGGAGCTCAGAACTCTGTGGGGTCCACAGTGCCTGGCTCAGGAACACTTGGAGGCATGGGATACTGTGGCTAAGCCCACAGCAGAAGGGTGACCACAATATTGTCTTCACAGCTTGAAGGTGTATGAAATAATGTCACTACATGGAAGCAGTGCCTCAGCCTGCACACCTATGGGAGTCTGCAGCTGCGACACGTAGAAGTTGGCCACATCCAGGTCAGTGGCTCCAAAGTGGGCAGTCACATGCACACCCTCGTGCAGTGTGAAGCTCACCTGGCGACCCACCATGGCCAGCAGGCTGCGGAGGTAGCGCTCCCGAAGGGCAGCTCGGGCCCGCTGTTCCTGGGATTCTGGAGATTCTTGAAGGATGGGACACTCTTGGATTTCAGTAGCTACGCGCTTCAGAGGGGCCCTGCATCCATCAGGGGCAAAGCCACGACTCAAGCCGTCGGGGCCCCGGGGAAGCCGGAGCACAGGCACAGGAATGGCCAATGGAGTCTGCATTATGCTGGCCAGGTCCACAGCTTCTGGCGCCCACACTTCCGCCAGGGCCCCCGCTGCAGAGGCCCGGGCGGACCGCAAGCCTCCGAGCCTGGGTTCCGCC